AAAGAACAAGCCATTTTGCAGCAGCAACAGTCTAATAACATTGACACAAGCTGTTTTCTGGATGAAAACAATTTGGGCACGGCTTGGGAGCCTCTCTGGACATAAACAGTAATTTGGACCTTGACCATTTCACATTGGAAAAAATACTTTGAAAATTTGTCCAAAAAAGTGACCATCTCTTAATTAGTTATTAAGGTATATAGAAATTATATATAAGCGTTATGGTGCTTCTAAAATAATGTTACTAGTAAACTTAACTTTATATTTCTCGCCCGGGGGGGGGGGGTTTGGAGGAAACAGGAGGGATGTCTTATTATTCTTAGTCTGTGCTGATTAATTCTTGTATGAAATTCAAAGCAACCTAATTATATACATATATGTGATGATGTAATAGTCTTCCTTATTTCATTGTCAAACTTTCTCTTCATTTTCAGCTTCTAAATCTCAGCTATTCAGATGTCACAACATCAGACATTGTGGTTTAAATTATTCCTCATTTCTTTAGAGTAGCTTACTCCTCAATTCAGTAATATTATCAATTTAATTACATGTAACTACATTGATTAACATTATGAAAAAATATTCTAATAACCGTGTGAATGTAGTGTATGAGGACCAGAGGCCCAAGAAATTTTTCTACGTTCCGGGAACACTAGGTGAGCTGGTGTTCCCCACAAATAAAGGATTAACACGTGGTCACCACTAATCATCATCCAACATCTGGCAAAGAAAATTAAACGTTTCTTTTTATCTTTTTAGGTAAAAAAATGCCAACTATATATTTTTGGGAACTTTAACGAAAAGCATCCGATACTGTTCATTTTAACGAAAAATCACATTTTTACACTAAAAAGTCAATCCTGGTACTATTCACTTTACCCTTTATTTTGTCTTTATCATTAAAACTCAAAGTTTTCAAATCCTTTTCATTAGTTTTCTTATATTTTTTAGTTTAACTTCCTAATTTATCCCAACCTGCTGCTAAAGGAAATCAGAAAAACCACAGCCGCCCCCCACGCCCCATCCACGCCATTGACCCCGAGCTCCCATCACAGAGCAACCATCCACCTCCATCGCCGGTTGTCGATTTCATCGGCGACTCTATCTTACTATTGTTTCTCCTCTTCCCTCTCTTTATCCCACTCTTACTTCGACAGAGATAGTCGGCGGCAACTCAAGAGCTGGTGCATTCACCGGCGTTCCCTTTTGTCCTAGAGCTGCTGCGACGGCGGAGGTGGTGGACTGTGGACAGAACTCTGGTTTTTTATTTCTTTAATCAAATAAATGCTTATCTGAGAAATGAAATAATAAATATTAGGAATAAGAAATAAAGTTGATCCAAAATGGATTGATTATATTTTTGGGAAGCCGAACGTATTAACTCAGGTAATTGTCTTTGCCAGATGTTGGATGATGATTAGTGGTGATCACGTGTTAATCCTTTATTTTGTGGGGAACACCCCGGAACCCAGAAAAATTTCTCCCAACAAAGAAGGAAAAGCAGCCGCATGCATCCATTTCAATGCACACAAGACCAAAAAGGCCTTGACGGTGAAGTTTGCTGAAAATCAAGGAATACAGAGCAAACCGTCTCTCACGAACATAATGATGACAAGTTCATAACTGACGCTTACCAACTTACTAATTCCAAGAGGCTTACAACTGTTATTGGGGAAAGACTCTTGTGAGAGAGAACTCAGACAGCCCTATACAAGAATTTCTCGGAGCTTTGAAAATAAATGTTTCATACAAAAATATGATATTTCTCATGATTTGTCCTAGTTGAACTATAGTTAAGCTAGGTTTCCTGTGTCAATGTACCACATTATACTCCAATGTTGTCGACAGTCACTAGCTATGAATGTGATCACTTGATCACCAATTTAGGAATATAAATAGAACCTAAAATGCCTAATATGGGTAACCCGTCTGAACACACCATATACTTCATTGGTTAAGTTTCATTGATATCTTACAGGGAAATTAGTTATATAATTAACTAATTGAAATGAAAGAATCTGATATATATTAATATTAGTGTATTTACTTGTAACATGCATTGACCATATATAAGAGAAGAGAGTGATGTGAACCTTTAAACGGGAAAAGACTTTGGTTAGGCAAAGTCAAATTAAGGGAAATAATAGGTAGAGAGTAAAACTTAATAAGGTGGATTTTTTAAGTATAAAATGTGCAATGAGTGCGTCAAGAAATTCTACATTGGTGTCCAACTACTTCCACCACGGTCACGTTACAAGACATAGTTTTTTTGTTTTTTTTCCAAGTGAAGGGAAAGAAAATGGCACTTGAATCGTAGAAATACTAAAAAATGAACTCATATGATAATGTCTCTTTTAAAATGTCACATTCTTTGGGACTTTTTGGAAGTCGATTGACCAATTAGCAATAGCTTTTTAATTTCTTTCCGTGTCTCGTTTTCAATGTGATCGGTACACGAGATGGTACATCATGTGTCACTAAACAAATGATGAGATATGTGTGCTAAAAAGTTAATAACTTAAAAAATAAAATTTCCCACCATTCATATTAAAACACGTGGTGTATCATTTGTGTTCTTATCACAACTAAAAATTTCTCCTTTTCCACGAGCCTACTTGCTTCTCACCCAATACCTTCTCGAACTAGCTAACCCAATCAAATCCCCAGCTATTGGAGTCAACCCTCTGTCAATTCCATATGCCGCATCCCCACTTTAATTAGTTGTGTGTTTAGTTGGTTGCTAGAAATACATTGTTTAAGTTAGAAATAACAAATCAATCCATTGAGTTGTTAATAGGTTTCGTTAAAATCCATTTAATTTGATATCACTATAACATAAAGGTGCGATTGATAATGATGATGATGGTGTAAGGTGAAATCAAATTAAATCAATCTTAATATATACCCATTAACAATCCAATAGATTAATTTACCACCTCTAATATCAGATGTGGCAGCATGCAGTTAACTACTTAGTCAACTATATATTAAAGAGGAAACTCATCCTTAATAATTCGTGATTTTATATGATGAACTGCATAACGAAACTTACCTGTGTATTTAATTAGTGTAAGAGCCCTTGTATATAGGGTACAGTATTTAAGGATCTTGACTACCTAAAATCCTAGAAGTGAGTCATCATATTTATGAATGTAAACAAATATAGGCTACTATGTTTTAAGCGTCTACAAACGCACTTAATTACTATGCTAGCGAATCACAATATATACAATACAAGATAAATGAATACTCTCAGCATAGAAACAGTGACAAAAATAGGACGTCCCATAAGTAATCTATTTCTAGTACTATTTCTGCATATACTTTCTATATACATTGTTTTAAAAATTCCCGCCTAACGTCGTCTAAGTATCAGGCAGCTAGCCACCTTTTTTATTAATTCCTAAGCATTTGAAAATTAAGAAAGGGTTTCTAGTCCTGCTTACACACTCGCCTAGACCGCCAAGGCACCCACCTTGCCTGCCCAGACCCGCTTAGGACGCAACTCTCACTTAGAAATAAAATAGATAACTTTCATTTGCATTTTTTTTTCAATAAATTATAAGAGACTTGTTGAATACTTAGATGAACAAATATTGTATCCTTCTTCCCCATGTTTTCATTATGTTCCAATACATTATAATCTATGTCATTCTGTTTTGCACTTTATGTATCCCGATGAAATTATTTAAGTTTAGATATATGCAGAAACTTATTTATACGATATATAATAAATTTACTTAAATACGTCTGACCCACCTAGATCTCCATCCAGACCCCGCCTAACCGTCTAGGTACTAGCTCTAGCATGTCGACTAGTGCTTAACGTCTTTCAAAACCTTGCCTATATAGCTAGCCATCGTATTTTTAGCTAATTCAAGAATGTATAATATAGCACCAATTCCTTATTTGATGTGTATATACCAGCTAGCTATGTCCCACCGATAAATTGTAGGGTAACCAAATAACTGTGATTGCATTAGCCAGAGAGGTCCTAGGAATCTAGGGTTCGCTGGACCAATTTTATAGGTTAGTTTTGAATATTGATGCATCATGCATGTCCTTGAAATAGCAAGTTTAACACTTATTTTTCGTGCCATTTTTAGTCATGCCTGCTGTTTAAACCGCGTGCCTGAATACGTACGTTGACAAGTTCCCTAGTATGTAGCTGGGTTGTCTTCACTACCTTGTGCTCCATCTGATGTCAGTTACAGTGCTCCGGCGGTGTGGATGCACAGGTTTTTTCCTAATTAGGTATTTCCATGTCCCCATGCACGAACGATAAACATGATCTCAGTCCAAAAAATATGCAAGTACGCTAGATTCTGATGAAAAAGGCTTTCTTCTACTTGATATAGAGTTTATTTACAATTTGATTGCACCCAAAGGTTGCCTCTCTTAATCTCTTCAGAAGAAAATATCAATCTTACATGAATTTTAGGTTTTGTTGGGTTGCTACTTTAGCTAAATTTTGTTGCAATGCGTCAATACGAGAAATTTCATTCATTTTTACATCTCAAAAGTTTAATGTACTTAATTAGTACGAGATATCTTTCAAAACAGGCGTACATCAATATTTCAAACACAAAACATCCTTTGAAAAATTATTTACCATGTCTCTTATACAAAGATATATTATTACTTGTAATAATGAATTAATGTCGGATCCATATATACGCAAATAATATGATTATTATATGAACTAATATATCTTTTTTGTCTATCAAAAGATAGAGGATGAAAAAGACAGAAAACAAAATAGAGATTAATTAATTTACGTAATCTTATTGCTCTCTTGAACCAAAAAAGAATGCGAGTGACTTCGAACTGATGACGTCATCTCACTACCTTAACGTCGCAAATGCTCTCCACCTTTGACATTACACCCCACCCCCCTCCCTCTTTGTATTATTTTCCAGACTGCTTGGTGCTCTAGCTCCTCTCTAAGGCTCTCTATTTATATGTGCACACAGCCATTGGCTTTTTTACTCCATAATTCAAAGCACCTCATAACTAAAGCAAAAGCACACTCAAAAACAACAGAGATGGAATTCATTGCCGAAACTACTACCACTCCTACAAGTCCACCTCCATTCTCCCACTCTCCATCTTCCTCTATTTCTTCTCCCAGTACTGCACCATTTCCATCCCCTGACTCTCATCACTTATCTAATTATTCTTCTCCTCATGCTGCTAATAGTAATATTGCTACTAATCCATTTCCGACCTATCCTTCACCGCCGCCACCACCACCTGTGGTTCTCAGCCCATGCGCCGCATGCAAGATTCTTCGCCGGCGGTGTGTGGAGAAGTGTGTTTTAGCGCCATACTTCCCTCCTACTGAGCCCCTTAAGTTCACTGTTGCCCACAGAGTCTTTGGAGCTAGCAACATCATCAAGCTCTTGCAGGTAATTAGTTCAGTAGGTGGTTAATAATAATACGTTTCATTATCTTCTGTTTACTGCACTAACTACCTAATACATATATCAATCATGGGATTTGGTCAGAAATATCAAAAAAGTCATGAGGAACACTTTTTCAACTTTCATTTGTTAAAGTAGATTCCGTTGGCTGTATTAAACTCTTCAATGATTGTGAAAGCATACATTGTTGTAAAAGTTAATATTATCAATGATTCAGATTCATAGTCCGAGAATATAGTAGACTTGAATTAAAACATACCCTTGAGTTGACCCTCATTTAAAAGCTGCATGTATGAAAAATTTGCAGGAAATTCCAGAGTCTCACAGAGCAGATGCAGTGAGCAGCATGGTTTACGAAGCCAATGCCAGAATTCGCGACCCGGTTTATGGCTGCGCCGGAGCAATATGTCAGCTCCAGAAACAAGTCGGTGAGCTCCAAGCCCAACTGGCCCAGGCACAGGCTGAGCTAGTGAACATGCAATGCGAGCAAGGCAATTTGATTGCCCTAATTTGCATGGACATGACACAGTCTAAAGAACAAGCCATTTTGCAGCAGCAACTGTCTAGTTGCAATGACACAATCTGTTTTCCGGATGAAAACAATTTGGGCACTACTTGGGAGCCTCTCTGGACATAAACAGTAATTTGGATCTTGATCATTTCACATTGGAAAAAGATACTTCGGAAAAATTGTCCAATAAGGTGACCATCTCTTAGTTAATTAAGGCTTACAGAAATTATTTGTAAGAGTTATGGTTCAAATAGATGGTCTCCATAGTATTGTCCTTTTAAATAATATTATTGTAAAACTTTAAATTTCTCTAGTTGTAATATTGGGAAGATAAAGGAAGGGGGTTGTGGAGACCGGTATGTCTTTTATTCTTAGTCTGTACTAAATAATTCTTGTATCAAATTCATAGCAATGTTTTGGTAACCTAATTATATATATATATATGTGGTGACTTAATAGTCTTCTTTGTTTCATTGTCGAACTTTCCCTTGATCTTCAGATTCTAAGTTTCAGCTATTCAGATGTCATGACGTCACAGACTCACAATGCTATAATGATTTTTATTTATTTTTCATTACAAGCGATAATATTACTGAATTGATGAATAAGCTACTCTACAGAAATGAGGAATAATTTAAACCCGAAACATAATGACAACTGTGTTTAACCATTGCATGACCAACTTTCACGTGACCAAAGTAAAACTTGGTTGAATATTTCTGAATTTAGTAGCATGTAATCACACTGATTAACATAACAAAATCATACTCTAACCGTGTGAATGCAGTCCTTTAAGGTGAACCACATACATCTTGTGTTTTTATGAGTGGTTTAGTCCACTGGTTGCTTATGCATATTTGATTTACCTTTCATCTATTTATCTTCGTTGATCCATTTTTATGCATCAACATATATCCCAGTTTCTGAATGCAAGGAGAAAAGAAAATGGCCACCATTGTATTTTGGGGTAGTGGTATATGAGGACCAGAGGCCCAACAAAGAAGAAGAAGCAGCCGCTTAGATATATGAACATGCCTCCATTTGAATGCACACGAGCAGACCAAAAAAGCCTTGATGGTGTGGTTTGCTGAAAGTCAAGCAATAAAGAGCAAACCATCTCTGAATTTCTTCTACACACTGAAGAGAAATGGTAAGGAGACTCTATCAAGAGTAGGGCTGTTCATGAACTCTCTATCATGTTTTTTGTACAATATTATATAATGTTGGCACGAGAATTAATGTCAAACTATAAGATGACAGAAAGTCCATAAAGAATCTCAGTTTGAGAGAATATCCTTAGCATTTCTCCCGAATAAATGATGTAATATTACATTTCCTTTTTACATATCCACGAACGTGATGGTGTGGAATTCATAACTGGCTCTTACTATTTCAAGAGACTTACAACTGTTATTGGGGAAAAAAACATGGAATTAACTTGGTTGCTGAACAATACAGCAGCCATTCCTACTTATACCCAATCTCATGTGGATACGTGTCAAAGTTTTGATTAAAAAAATCAAAACTTGAATATGTGTCCACCCAAGATTGGGTATAAACAGAAGTGATTGCTGAAAATTCAGCAGCCAGTGTTGTTAAAAAAAACATCTTGTATAGAATCAGCACTGACGCAAGCATCGTTTCTCCCACAAGAAGGTAAGCATTAGGTTAGGTAAAGAACACACATCCACATCCTCACTTCGTGAGCCGTACACAAGAATTTCTCAGGCTTTCGGATAATATTTCGTAGAAAAGTATGATCTCTCTCATGATTGGTCCTAGTTGAACAAAGGTAAGTTTGGTTTCCTGTGTCAATGTACCGCATTGTACTCCAATTAAAGTTGTCGACAGTCACTAGCTAGAAACGTGAACCAGATGACCAGTTTAGGAATATAAAATAGACATAATCTTGTGGTGGTCGTTAACTTAACTTAAGGAGTAATTAGGTTTTCATCCTTATTTTTACTACTCTATTGATTAAAACCTTATTACTTTTCAATTTTTTATCAAGGTTCTTTGTATTAATAATATAATTAATTATTTCAATAATAAAATATTTTTTATTTCTAAATATATTCATTTAATATTAAAAATATTACAATTAGTATATTTATATTTATTGTTAAATTTTTTATCATATATTTTTATTTTTAGTTTGTACCCATTTTTAATTTGCAACCCTTTTTTAATTTGTACCAATTTTCCTTTCAATTTTAATTTGTACCCATATATTAATTTCTTTTTGTGCCCATATTTTTTAAAGTTTTATTTGTATTGTACCCATATTTTTTTATTTATTTGTACCCATTTTTATTTTTGCTAAATGTACCCATTTTGAAGAATGTACCCATGTTTTGATACAATAATTTTTTGGTTATTTTTTATGAATGTACCCATGTTTACACACACACACACACACACAATAGTATATTTATATTTTAATATTTTTAATCCCACAAATTATGTTTTTTATTTAAAATCTCATTACTATAAACAACTATAAATTTTAATTTTTAATTTAAAAAATATAGTAACGTACATAGAAATAAATTATCAATTAATTTTAGGGACTTGGATCAAAAATTGAAAACCAATAAAGTTTCAGTCAAAGATTATTCATAACTAGGGACCGCATCCAAAGTCTCCCTTAACTTAATCACCATTAATTTGATGACGAGAGAGAAGAGACTAGGAAGGATAGTTATAAGCTAGGAATTAAGGAAGACCAACCCTCCATTATTCAAAGTCTTGAACCTTAATTGCCGGCTGTCGCATGCCAACGTCGTTCGAGAATTTTATTTTGGTCCATCGTTCAAACACTACTAGCACATATTTTTCTTTCGGGTTGAGTTCATCTTAGGGTCAACGATCACTTATGAAACTTCAAGGCCTCTAGCAATTAAGAAGGTCAATGTGACTATTCCGTGCTATAGATTGTGGGAATTTCTGAAGAGTAGTGCTATTCATACATCTATTTTTATTTCTCATATATTTTTCTCAATTTTTGAGTCGGATCGAATGAATTAAAAAATATTAGTGGCCAAAAATTAGCAAGGGTGTATGAGAGGTAAAAATGAGTGTGTAAATAACACTATCCTTTTTGTATTGTGTTTCTCTTCTTCATGAGGAAGCATATGTGTAAGTTTACATAGTAGGCTATACAAGCTAATGAAATTGAGATTCTACCATAAAACCAATTTGTAATATGGGGAGTAGTCAAAGTCCATATAAGCACATAGCAAACATTGTCCCTCACTGATGTGGGACAACTCTCAACACGCCCCCGCACACGTGTGGGAGATTTTCAAGCCTACATGTTTACAACAACTGGATGATACGCGTGTGGGAGATCTTCAAGCCTACATGTGGACAACAACTGGATGATGTGGAGCGCGTGTGGCCGTTTGGCTTCACACGAGGACAACCCGCTCTGATACCATGATGAAATTGAGATTCCACCATAAAACCAATTGGCAATGGGGAGTAGTCAAGGACCATATAAGCACATAACAAACCTTATCTCTCACCGATGTGGGACAACTCTCAACATCTAGGTTATATGATTACAAGAAACCCTAATTTACAGTAAGTTAACTAAGCTCAATTGGATTAGACTCATGTAATTAACATTTTGACTCTTATAGTATTCGTTCCTTAATTACTCAGAATCTGTTATCATGCATTTCTCTTGTACATTTTTTTTAACGTGGAAATTAGATTTAAGCGCTCAAAATATACATTTTATGAGTCAAGTACAACTGTACAACCATCTTTATATGTTAATAATTTGATGTATTTTTATTTTAGGGGCTTTTAGATCCAGGTCCAAAAACATAGAGTGTTTTTAGGAGTGAATCCAGTTATCTAATTATGTATTTTTATTTCTTTTATACTCATTTTATATTTTCTAAAAATATTAAAAGTCAATTAAAATCTTCTAATATTATGCATTTTCAAACTCCAAAAAATATATTTAATATCTTATAACAAAAAAACTAATATACTAACATAAATTTATCTGCAAAACATTCTACCCTAACTCAAGTAACAAAAATATGAATGTATATAATACCTATACGTGAGATATGAAACCTAATTAAAATGTAGAAAAAACATAACATACCTACAAGCTAGACACATTAATCTGTGACAAGTTGATTATAAAAAAAAATAAAAAAAGCTGTCATATAGGTAGATAAATATAATTAACATGTGATATATGTTGATTATAAAAATTAAAAATTAAATCTATAAATAAGGTTTAAAGCAGGAGAAAGAACGAGAAATAACAAAAATATAAATAAAAAGAAATAAGCAAAGAGATAATTGGGAAGAAATTTGATTTTTATAATAAATCTTATCATTGAACAAATAACTATTGATAATTAAATAATTAAATATAACAAATTAGATTTATTTTAATAAAGTTGACTATTCCTACTATTGGCTCAAAAAAATTGGATTTATATCAAGTTTCTCTTTATTTTAAGGGTCCCTATCGTTAATACTTTGTAGTTTGAACCCAGGGCCTTAAGGTCAGACTCAAAAACACCGTTTACATATGCTTTAATCGTTCCAGATAACACTTGTGTAATATATAAAGTCTTGTTTTTATTCCAACGTTCATGAATCATAGTAACTTCCATCAACCTTCTTTCTCACTTCCTTTTGTCGTGACTGATGAGACTAAAGGTCTAAAAGATTGCGACACTCCGTACTTCCAATGTTTACTTGTCAGAAGAGAATGCTAATTAAGAACTTAATGTTGAAGGAATGAAGGACTTGGTGGGGTGGAGGCAGATTCTCTGCCCTCTTATTTTCCGTGTCCTTCCTTGTTCTTCTGTTTGTGTGGTCACGGTTAAGTCACATCAATATTTTATATTATTATTTATTTTTATCTTATTATCTCTATAAAAAGATAAAATAAAATATTAACGTGCTTAACCGTGACCACACAAAACAAAACAGAAGGACCCGAGAAGTGAGAGCGCAGAGATTCTGCCTTATGGTGGGGTGGGATGTATTGAAGTAGTCATTAGATGACTGGCCCCCAATTCGATGACCGACTATTGGCTTGCCTTGTGCCCCGAGTCACCAATTTGATAGAAAAAAACTTGGTGGTGGAA